GAGAGAAGAGGCATCTGTGCAGAATCTCCACTTACTCCCTCACAATCGTAGCAGCAACAACTCCACAGGGACCTACAATACCTCCAGCTAAAGACCCACCAGTCTAGAAATATTATTAGCTTAAACCCTTCTCATAAAACAGCTTCTCATAAAACTATTTATTGAATGATGATGCAAAAGTTCTCTATTTTAAACATAGTTTTTGGCATATGTTTCTAGGTGTTACACTTGGTTGGTTTTAAAAACAAAAGACTAAACTTAATGAACTACAAAACTTTCTTCCTTTATTCATGGGTGGGTCTCTGCAATATGTAATCAAGAAAGGAATTTGAGTCCTCTCCCATCCCGTGGTTAGAAATCAAGACAGGGCTCGCCTTTATCGTCATGGGAGCTCTTTTTGCTGCCCTAAAAATTAATAATAATAAAGTAACCGTAATAACAACAACAATAACAGCAGCTAGCATGGACAGAGCACTCTGTATGTCCACAATCTGTGAACCACCTGTGTCATGAGGGGTGACACAGGGCAAGCCTACACGGTCCCTAAGAGCCCTTGTCTTTTCCCGGAATGCTCAGGCTCCTCATTTAGAAATGCAACTACCTAGAAAGCCCAGGCATGAGGCAGTCTACCTTCATTCCCCATCGGTGCCTCTTTCTATGCGAGTGTCTCTTCTTTCTGAACTAAGCCAAGGTTACAAAATCTGAGGACCAACTAAGTAGCATTCGGAGTGGGTTACGTGGAGTGGGCAAGACGTGGGAGGGCAGGGTAGTGGGCAGGGTGTGGAGGTGGCACGCTGCAGCCTGGGAGAGTAGTTGTCCTGAGAAAAGTGGTCTTCTTGGGGACAGGGGTAAGAAGAGCCCCTTTAGCAGTATATGGGATAAGGAGTGAAGTTTTTCTACGCATGTCATTTCACACAGATGATAGTCTTCTGTACTGAATGAAAGCCCATGAATAGTGGGGATTTTACCAGTGGTATACATATCCACCTGCCAAACAGATGGAGATCTGAGGAGACTGAACTGGCCTAAACATGGGCAGAGTGGGGCTGTGGACGACAGGCTCATGAGCATGGGCAAACCAGAGGTACACAGAGTTCTACTTAAAAATGATCAAACAGAAATAAAGAAATCTGGACTCTAAAAGACACTGCCGAGGAAGAAAGAGAGCATCAATTCCCTGAAGACTGAAAAAGAGAACAGATCTCACAAAATGATATGCTACAGGAAGGAAATTTTAGAAAAAGGTTTGCATCCTTAATAGGAAACAAGATGGTCTTAGCTCCATGAAACCCGAGAGCTGTAGGTCCAGGACCGATTGAGATGGAGAGACAACAGAGTGAGAGAGAAAGATAAGTGGACAGTAGAGAGGGTTACAAGTAAACACCCCCCAACCCCCAAAAAAGGGGCACAATTTAAATCTGTATTTTAAGTTTCAAAAGCAGACTTTAGATGATAGAAATAAAAATATGGGGGATAAGCTTCAGAAACTCTCCCAGAATACAAAGTTAAAGGTCAAAGAGAGAAAACTGTAAGGCGGTTTTGCAATGCAAATGCTTGAGACTAGATTAGAGTTAATGCCTATGAGAATGTATTTGTCTGTTTATACAATCCTTATGAGTTTGTTAGGTCCTTCTCAGAGACAGAGGAATTATAAACCAGTTGTTTTCTCCTGGTTGCAACTTCCCAAAGTCCTCTTCTGTACCCTGTTCTCCCTGCACCTCCAAATGAAATGCAGAATAATAAAGGGGGAAGAAAAAACACCAGGAAGTACCCTGAGCCTAGAAAGCAAATTTTCAAACTGTCTTTATTTCAAAGGCCTAGGTCTGTCCTCGGAAGTCTAACCAATATGTTTACGTATGTTGAGGACAATGCGGTATTTAACCTTCGGAATGCATGCTAGTTTAAAAATGGATTACCAAAACCCAAAACACGCTTCCTAATCCTACCTCTTGTTCAGCAGAGCAATAATAAGAAAAATAATTGGGAGAAAGAATCGGTTTCGGGAAACCCTTCTCTGGTAATCTTGAGAAGCAGCCACAGTGGGAGGCAGGGCAGATAACAGGTTGTACACGGTTTCATAATTGTGAATACAAGGGCTAAAATGATGCCTAATGCAGGCTGACTGCCTTGAAATGTCTCCAAGGCCACAGTATCTCCTCAATGACTTATTTTCACATAACATGAAGAATTGGAGGCTCCTTGGAGACAAACACACCTTGCCCACCAAATCATCCCACCCACAGGTCTGTCCACCCTGCTGAGTAGGCCTGGGCAGAATTTGTTGAGATAATAAACTATCTTCCACCTCAGACTATATGAATCTCTAGAGTGCTTTACTCCATGGGCGCAGGGACAGGCCTCTACCCTCTCCTTGCTTCTCTTGGCTGGGACAGAGCAGAACAGACCCACATGTCCACGCTCTGACACAAGTACAGGAGCTGTAAATCTGAATTTCTCAGGTGTTATGAAACAATGTTGGAATTGTTTGAATGGCTGATAAAGAGAAGAAAAATCCCTTCCTCCTTTTCTTGAGGTAGAAGTTCATTTAGTCTGCCTCCTCTGACAGAAATCTCGAATTCTCCCCTGGCTGCATCTGTAACAGGGTTCCTTATCAGTTTTGCCAAGCCCTTTATAAAAGTGGAAATGAGACACTTTATAGTCCAGATATTATAAAAAATAAGTCCCAACACTGTGTTATCAATCATGCACCCAACAATGCATGCACACTCCAGTAATACACATAATGATAACCTAATTGAGGAGAAATAGCCTATAAGAACTAGACTACTAACCACTTGACTGTATTCAAAAAGATACTTTTTTTGTACAAATAGTTTAATCTTGAGTAATATTAATAGAGAATAACATCTAAAATTATTATATTCTTATTTGGAGAATAAAGAAACACTACAGTTTTCAAACAGAAAATTATTTGATAGTCCTGGCCAGTGTGGCTCAGTTGGTTGGAGCATTGTCCCATGCACCAGAAGGTTGCCAGTTTGATTGCCGATCAGGGCATATACCTAGGTTATGGGTTTGATCCCTGGTCAGGGCACATATGGGAGGCAACCAGTTGATGTATCTCTTTCACATGCAAGTTCCAGCCTCTTTC